AAATATTTGATTGTTGTCCCCTTTTTCCTTGAAACTGTTATCGTTGTCCTTTAGATAAGAATAAGTAGCAAACAAAACGCTCGAATATAAAGGATATATTTATTATCACCGCTTGATAAAGTGTTTTGTCGTAACTTATTTGTTTTATTGCTATATGAAAATAAAACACATTCGAATCAAGTAAAATAGAGAAATCAAAGCAAAAAAAAAAAAAAAAAAAAACGAAAGAAAAGTGAGTAACAAACAATTTCTATTTGTCCAATCAGCACGCAAGCAATGGCAATGCATATGTCAGCAATAAAATATATTCCTTTGGCTGATGGTGAGCTAATGGTGATACTATTGCTGCTGCATTTGTGTTCGGCTCCCGCAATTTCAACAATAAGCTATGTTGTAATTGTTTGCGATTTAATTTGAATGCACTGTTGTAATACATGTTGGACATGCAATAGAACTAATAAATACTACTAATTAAGAAATTAAATTGCTACGAAGCAAATCCTTGGCACATGTACATATTATATATACAGCGAACATTCAAATGTGACGAAAAAGAGTAGTGCGATGTTGTTAGTATTTATGTCAACACCTATAACCGACCAATACACGATGTAACGTTTCTTAATAGCGATGCGACTTCAATTCGGAAATAAATTAAATTTCGTATTCATTTGCTCTCTAAATGTTAAAAAAAGGACAACCTTCTGTAGTTGGCATGAGAATAATAAAATAAAAATCATAAATTTATTCGCTAAATTAAAATAATAATATAAGTAATTCGGTCAATTGCATAAGAAATTTAAGCAAAGTAAAATTTATGATATATCTAAAGACTTTTCTATAGAAATCTCATTGCAAGAAATATCTATTACACCTATTAAGTTTCACTTACTATATGCAGATCGTTGCGAATAATTTTATAATTCGCTAACAACCTTCGAATGTTATATTTTATCATTAGTCTACTTACTTACTTACTTACTTACTTATGGCCCCGGCATCTAAATTATATATTTTCGCTTTCAGAGTCGAATTACATCGCAGATTTCAACGAAAAGCTTGAAGCGTATTCTTAACAGTAGCCAAAGGACGCTTAGCTTGAGATTAGCACATTAGTCATTAGCACAAATAGGTCGTGAGTTGCTTTGATTATGTGCAAGGCATCTTCGAAAGCGAGCAGAAACTTTTCATAATAGTCCATTGCAATTTACTTACAACCTACTAGCTCGGCCTAGCTCTACGCCTGTGACTGGCTTTCACGTTTAAAAGAACGTCAGCAAAAGATGTATTTTTCTAAGCCGCACAGCGACAATAAGTGTCGTCAGTAGGATGTGCTATTTTCAAGAAGTCTTGCCTACTTTTCAATGAATCTCGTTCGGCTTCTAAATGTGCGATTGTCGTTCACGTTTGAAAGAACATCAATAAAAGATGTTTCTCTCTAACCCAAATGGCAATCAACAAGTGACACCAGTAGCAAGTGTCTTCCCTACTGTTTAATGAATCCTATATGTGTTTATATCGATTTTGCTTTGCGAAATGAACTAGGAATACAACATATTACTCAATAAGTTCATAACCTAACGTACAGGTATATATATAGAGGATGACTATTGACGAATTCATATAATGTTTAGATAGTAACAACATTCAACAGAAATTCATCAAAATTTCATGACACTAAACGTTACACTTATTTTAGTAACTCACTAACTTTGTACTATCTAAAGATCATATGAATTCATCAAAACTCTGCGTGCATTCCTATAAACTTATTGAGTGACATATTACACATAGAGTATCAATTTTTTTTTAATGTTTACTTCTTTTTTTGTCGTAACTATTATTTCGAATAGGGCATATTTAAACGGTCTTGGGTGAATCGGCTTAGAAAGTGTAACTGTATGAGCATAAGCAGCCAGGAGCTTCAAAACCCAATATTTCAAGCAATAACTTGAAAATTCACTAATTGCTGATCATTATTAGCGTTTCCGATTTCTTTTTTATATCTTCGGTAAATATTGATGGTTAATGTTGGACAAATATTGTGTATGCTAATATCGCGTAATAATGAAATATTGGTGTGTTTTTCAAAATTGTTTTAACTTTTCATTCCATCACCTCTTGCTATTTTGAAAACTTCAATGACAACCAAGCAGACAGACAACCGGAGAAATGCGTAGATTCTGATTTATCTAAAAACCACCAACCAACACCGTTTAACAACTAATGTACCAGAAACTTTTACTTTACAATAACTGCAAAGCAATTGGCAAAGTGTGATATGCGTTTCAAGCAGAAATGCGTCCGAGAAGTAGCGGCATAACACATTCGTTAAATAGTTATCTTTAACCCCTTAAGCAGGAGGGACAGCAAGTCGAGCTCATACGATTTCATGTTAAGATTGAAATGTTAAAGCTTTTAAATGAAAAGAATATTTTCAAACTTTTGCGATAACATTCCGTAATTCTTCCAATATCCTCGACTTGCGATGCTACAATTATGTACACATTGCAAAAATAATCGATAGATCTTTAAATTTTGTAGTGTGATCGCATACTATCGTATGCATCCACTTGAAGTGTGACAAAATTGTGCCACTTCAGCATAACCCTTTTGATAAAATAAAATGTCACACTTCACTTTGCATGTAAACAGTGATAATTCTGTTTATATAAGAATAATTTAGTGTGTGATAAGGATAATTTAGTAAGCAATTACAATCCTGTTTAGAATAAGATAAGAATAATTTAGTGTAAAAATTTAGTATAAATAGTGCCTAAGAAAATAAAGAAAATCAGTTCTCATCAGAGTTCTCATAAAGCAACTTTACTCGCTAATAGCACTAGGCATTCAATCTGCCTGAACCATTAAGATTAGTGATCGTCTTATGCCGAGACACTTTCGCATTATAAAAGACGGATAGACTTGGCTTATTGCAGCCGAGCAGCATAGGGCTAAACTGCTAAACTACATTCACTAACACTTTGGTAAGGATTCATAGAGAATCTTCCCGTAAACCGATAAACTAAACATTTCATACCACATCAAACATTATTACAATTTACTCGCACCCGTTTCTTGTGTTTCTCTTCTTTTAACGTATTTTTTTTTTTCTCTCAGTGTGTGTTTATACTAAACATCCGTTACACCAATTAGAGAGCGAAAAATATGATAAGCTAAATATGCGGAAATAACGTAACTATGTATAATTGCAATTGCTACAGACATTATGGAACATAACAATAACAGCAACAAGAAATAGCCGAAGCAACGGCAACGGCAACAGCAACAGCAACAGCAATAAGAACAACTAGAACAGCAGCAACTCGTGAGGTGCTGCTATCCAAAACCAACAACATTTTATAGTGTCAACAGGAATGAACGCAAACATATAACGGTATAAGCAACAGCAATAATATGAACTCATCAGCAACAGAGAATGGGGCCAAATAATAACAACCGTTTTCTAGAACTCAGTCTATTACACTCTTACCCCTCCACACCGTTTCTCTTGCTAGTCAATAATATTTAGACCTTCTTAGCAATGTTATTTTAAAAAAAGAAAAGGGCATACATATATATACACACAAAATATAACAAAAAAAAAAAAAAAAATTAAAAAAAATAAATAAAAAACACGATGAACACAAAGCAATCCACAAGTGTGTGTGCGGGTAGAACCCGGAAGCACACAGGTCGCTGCATTCAAGCGCATGCGTCAAATCATCACAAACTTAATTGTTTTTGTTTTCCCTTTGAACGAGAGCTTGTGAGGATTTCCTCGGACAGAGAGAAAGAAAGACAGAGAGAGAGAGAAAGAGAGAGAGAGCACGAGAGAGACACACAAATAGAAAGATGGGAAGAGCGCGAAAAAGAGATTAAAGACGAGAGAGAGAGTCCATTTGCGATTATACACTTGTGGCTTGTTTTTTCGGTCTAGGTTTTATTGTTGCATTAAGGGTAATATGTTGCGCGGCTACTTGTTGTGTGTGATGTTGCAATTCAGTTCCCTGCAAACTAGAATACAGTCAGAATTTCTGAGTAGTGCAGTGCAGTACAAAAACAGTGATAGAAAAAGCACAACTTAAAAAGAAGGTAAACGGTTTCAAAAAAAAAAGAAAAAAAAGATGAAGAAAAACAACAAATATATAAAAATGAAAGAGTCATATAACTCAATGAACAAATAGTATATAAAATTTATAAACAAAAAATTAAATTTTAATTCAGACGAAAATTTACAAAAAAAATAAAATAAAATTTTTATTTCCATTTCATCCAGGAAAGCTGCTTACTGAACAAACAGTCAATAGTTATACTACTTCATCCTGCAAATCTTTCCTCTTTGTTTTTTCATTCACCCCCAACCATAGCGTTTATTGTCTGCCCTCTCGTACACTAGTCAGACTGTAATTTATTTCGCCTGCTGCCAACCCAGCTTCTTTCGTCTGTTGGGTACATGCTTTGATTTCATCTAAATGAGTGCAAATTTAAGCTCTCTTAGCTCTTAGTTTACAGTTTTAAATTTTTTTTTTTATTTTTATTTCTTTTTTTTTTTTTTTTTTTTTGTTTTCCTTTTTATGCTTTTGCTGGAAAATGAAGTGCTATACGGGTTTCTCTCTCGTATTAAGTGCGTAAACCTCTGTTTCATGTCACTGTATTGTTGCCGTTGTTCTTCTTGCTGTTTTTGTTGTTATTGTCATCGTCTTCGGTACACATGCATACGTATGTAAATGCTCCTGTCGACCATATTGGAGCGACGACCAACAGTTGAAAACCACTTTCTGTTGTTTGTTCATCAGTAGAAGGGAGTGGTACGTCAAAAATTGACGCACATCCGCAATTACTGTGCAAAAATTATACAATTTACAATTTTTTTCTTTTATTTATTATATTATTATATTATTCATACACACTGTTGTACTGTGCTGTGCTGTGCTGGGCTATTAACTTAAATAACAAGTAAATAAAAACCAAAAAAAAAAATAAAAAATAAAAATAAAAAAAAAAATAAAAAATGAAACGAAAACAAAACAAAACCAAATACAATAAATTAACAATATTTTGAGTCACACATCAAAAGAAACGATTTTCTGTAGGAAAAAAACCAAACAAAATTCATAATCTGTCTAAACCTTCAAGAAATCTATAATTGAATCGATGCAGAAAAAAGGTGCAAGAATAATAATAATAATAATAATAATAATAACAACAAAATAAGAGGATACAGCTATATAAACTTTCTATATGCATTACTGCTGCGTTGCTATCGCATCCAAAATTTATTATTTTCTATTACTTTTTTAACAATGAATTGCGAAAAAGTTTTCATTTAAATGAAACTGATGTACGTAAGAATATCTAGGATGAGGAGAGTAATCAGTAAATCAGTAATAAAATCACGAAGAAATCTATGCAACTTCTATGGAAATTATTACGAAATGTAAATTCATCAAATATGTGAGTAGAAACAAAAGTAAGCAAAAGTTATTCTATCGTATAGCAAAGAAAGAAAAAAAGATCAAAATAGAAAAAAATATAGGAAAAATATTCTATTAGTGATTACTTAATATCCTTTCGTGAGCCCTTTTCGTGCTATTCTTGTAATTCATGTTATTATTGCTGTTGTTGTCTCCATTACATATACGTATATATAGTTGTTGCCAATGACTGGTATGTGGTGGTGTGTTTTTATTGCTGTAGTCATCATTTAAGCGGGTAGTTCAGCAAAGGACGCTTCAAATCACAGTATTGACACCAACAACAACAGCAACAGTGACAGCAAAAACAGCAGTTAAGCCATTCGGCTTTAATCGTCTAGCCTCGTTCTTATTTGAGAAAGTTGCATTTTCGACAACAGCAACAACAATAATAGTAATAATAATAATAATAATAATAATAATAACGGCAACAACTATATCGATAACAACAACAACTAGTTTTTATAAAAACTAAAAAAGAAAAGCTATTATCGAAAGTTTAAAAAGAAAAAATTTATGAAAAAGTTGTGCAAAAAGAAAAATTATTGCATTATAAAGCCTGAAAAGCTGAATCGCGATAATTTTCTTGTTCTTATTATGACAGCATTGTTTTCTATTTTCTTACCAATATGCTCTCACTCTTTCCATTTCTCTTTCGATGCTTGGCAAACCCTTACAAATAAACAAAAAAGTAACAAGAACAGCTACGACAAAAAATCAAAAGAGAGAAGACGAGCAACAGCAACAAAAACCGTCTCATTAATAACACACTTGTTTGCTCAACTTGTTTGAATAATAGAAAAACACCAAAGCAAGCTGCAACAGCGCAAATGCAGAGTTACCATATCTTATAAAATCAGTTTTCAACGATACAAAACGATACCAATATATAGACGTAACCAGCAAATTACTTAGATTTTATGCAACGTTTATAAAATTTATTAAAAGTTAACATGTTAAATCCACGTACACAACTACCATCAAACCCTTTGATTTCCAATTTCAGTTTCAATTTTCTTTTCTTTTTTTTTTTTTTTTTTTTTGTTATATCGCTAAATCTCATCTTCCCTCCCCGTTTGTCGTTTAGCAAACAAGTGCTCAACAATATATCGCGTTGTTCATATAGAATCTTATATGATTGCCTGTCAGTCATATTAGCGTATACCTCTACCTATACCTATACATATAGACATAGCCACTTATAGTTAGATTTTAGCGCGTTTATAATTCTGACAGGTGGCCATAGACCATAACGTCCAATATACTGGTTTCCTAAACAACATTTACACATATATATCTACCAAATATATGTGTATGCATATGTATAAAATGTGCGCACATACATAAAAGACGCTAAAAGCAACAGCATAAATTGCTTTTACGGTACATATACATGTCTATATATATATATATATATATGTGTGTGTGTGTGTATGTGTTTAATTCTCTGTTTAATACCATAATTTCTGCTCCTCCTTACCGTGTTGATGTCGTTGCTTCGTTAAAAATTCAATTAAAACTTCTATGGAATTTTAACAACAAAATGTATACACAATCATAAGAAACGGTTTCCATCACTGCGTCTTTCTCCTTACTTGCTTAAACAGCGCATGGAACAATGCATGTCTGATATTGCTTTAAAAAGTAAGGTGTTTACACAAATAAAAAAAAAAAAAAATAAAAAAAACATTCTTTTAACGCTTCCATCTCGGCAAAATATGCTACATGTACCGAAGCATATACAATGAAACAATGAATGAAATCATTTTAAATTGAGTAAAAAAATGATTTGTTTTTATTTGTGAACCCCACTACGATTTTGTATAGTCCGAACTGCGCGAACAGAAGCGTGCAACTTAATATCGAATATAATATCGAATAATTGCCACCTAAAGAAAAATGAATAGCAAATCGAAATATTATAGGCGTGCTCGAACGGCTATAAGTACACCGTACCACTTCGCCTAACAAAATATCAAAAATTGTACTCATTCCCAAATAATCTCGATAAGAACTCTTCCATCGAATAGGGCACGAAGGATGACCTAGCGTGCTTTAAATTTATCAGAATTGAATTTCTTTACCTATATTCGTCATAAAACACATAAACTTAATACCCTACACCACATAATATTATTAAAATTTACAAGTTTACTTGCCAGCATTCTGGGCGTAACGTGTACGCTAACAAACAAGAGACTATGGCAAAACAGTGTCGCAACGTTAGAAAATGCAAGTTCGCGAAAACGATTTGTTTTATATAAAACTTGTGCAATGAGTAAGAAGAGAGCTATCAGGTAAGGGTATTAGTCCGTCTTACGCTTGCCCTCTACCTCACGAATCGATGGCGGTTATTATTTGAAAGAAATTACTATAATTGAAATTTACAAAAGTGAAACTTAAAATTTGGAAAAAAATACGTTATGGAACATTTATAAAGCTCTCACTAAATCCATAGACATGAAAGAAGCAGAAATGGACGAATACTTTAATCTTCATATGTTATACGAAAACGTACCCACCTTTCATTATATCGATCAATTCACCATAATTTTCTGAAACAATTCAAGCTTGTCTGTCTGATGTCTCTCGATATATTTTTCGGACTACAATTTTTGGAATATTTTGATGGAATTTGGTAAACTAATGTGTTTTGGCCCAGGGATGAATTTCATTATAAATGGATTGGATTGAACTACTTTTACGATCACTGCCGTTCTAGAAGCGTAGATTGAAGAGGAGTTTAATTTGAAATATTACAGTTTGCAAAATTTCTCAATAAAAATCGTTGAATATTAATATTGCGGCATTTTAAATACATATGAAAGTTTCGAATCGGATGACCTCATTTTTGGGAGGACCCCCCTCTCATAAAACGGTTCTCATCAAATCTGAGCTTTTATGTAGTAGCAAAAGCGTTTAATTTTTATTAATTTATGGTGAAAATTGGTCTACAGCAGTAAATTGATATAAAAATTCATTGTGACCAATTTAGATCATGTACGCCTTTTTTTTTATTCCCTCCTCATATAAGCGGTTTGATAAAAAGTACAGCTTTAGATGGCGAAAAAGGACAATTTTAATAGCTTTATGATAAAAATAAATGAAGGACCATAAGAGCTTTAAAAAGAAAATTAAGTTTGATAAGCATGGACCATCCCCATACTGCTCTTGGACCTACTCCCATATATAATATCCTTTTACATGGGGAACACACAATAATTTTTGATATTTTCTCATGAAAATAAGAATGGAGAATTTTATTAGGCGATACTTTGTAGGGTATTTAGTAGCAGGCCTTGCTATTGCTTGACTACAATATTTTTACTTATTTTTTTCGTTTTTATTATTTGACCAACCACACAGGGCATGTCAATATATGATATATCAATATCAAAACCGAGCGAAATGCTACTCTAGGGGAGTATACTCATTCGTTTATACCTATAAAATATTTTATGGCAGAGTTTAAACGACGCTATACGAACTCCCCAAGATGAGCAGAATCGCGATGGGGTCCGAAATGATGAGAAAAATTCACAAATGATATTGAATGATCATTGACAGAAAGTTCATGAGGTAGCATATTTGAATGTCCTTTAAAAAAGGACTATAAATGGCGTCTTGCCTGAGAACTTTGCCAAGCAAAAACTGGCCGCAATATGGTTGTTACGTTTACTGAGAAGAACACATGAGTAATATTTCAAGTATTCGGTGAAATTTCAAATTAATAAGGATGAGTTTTTGTAGCGTTTCGTGATCGTGGGTGAAACATGGACACATAAGTTCATGCCGCGTACGATGGCAGAGACAAAAAGAAAAGAAATCTTTGCTTTTTGAAGCGAGCTTTTCTGTAATTAATTTGAAGAGCAATATTTACAAGATAATAAGAAGATCGCATGCGAGAAAATAAAAGTTAAGTCGCGGTAATGTAACTGTGCTAGGAAAACACATTAGCATAATAATCTATAAAATGGTTTATGAGAATGAAACAATAGTTAAAAGAACTATATAGAGAAAATTCAATTCTTTCAGAGAATGGATAATAATGTACCCATGGAAAGGAATGGAAAAGAAAGTGTTTAGCAATTGTAACAGATTTAAAATTTGTTACTCAATGTTGTTCGCTTTTTTGTTTAAGCGAAATATTTTTTTCGACGAAAGCGTAGGTGTTATTATTATTGTTATTACGATCATATTATTTACATAATTACTATCGCCATCATGGCCAGGATTCAATAAAACTATTCTTCTGCAAATTTCCCATAAAAAATATGTTATAAAAATTTTTATTAAATAAAAATTAATTACTTTTTTTATTTATTTACAGATGCGCGTATTTCCGCTTTCCGACATCTATCTATAAAATACTTTATTAAAACTACGTATATAAATATTAATTTAAAATAGTAAAAAAGAATAAAAACGTATTCGAAAGAAAGAATAGTCATGTAAAAAATTTAAAGCCAATTAAAACTTAAAGTCGTTCAAAGCAATAAGAAGAAGAAAGAGAGCGCGGAATAAAAAAGAAATAATTAAATAAATCAAAAAAAAAAAAAAAAAAAAAAAAAATCATCCCCCTAATCAACGTTACAACGAAAGCAATACCTAACTGTGAAACACAAGAAATTTTGGAATAAAAAATTTAATATTTATATTTTGTTTTAAAATTGTGCCGGAAAAATATTTATTCTGTTAAAAATTAAAGTTTTGAAATTTGTAAAAAACGCGAAATATCCTTCAAAAGGATACTATCATTATAGTGACGGTAGGCGAACATGAAGAAAGGTTGTATTCTAATAGAATAAAAAAAAACAAAAAGCAGATTTCCAACAAAAAAAAAAAGAGAAAAATAATAATAAAAATAAATAATTAAATAAACAAATAAAAAGAGTAAAAACAAAAAAAAAACAGAAAACTACAATACTGAAGCATTAAATACCACAAAAATGTCTGTGGAGTCTATAGCGGCTTCAAGTAAAATTGTTTTAGCAAAAAGTTCTGCTGCCTCAGCATATACATCCGCCAACGCCAACAATACTAGCAACACTCATGGCAACACTTTGTGTATTCCACATGCAATACGTTATGGCGAAAGTCAGACAGTAAACCAACAACAGCACCAACATAATGCCATCGTTAACCAAGGACGACGTTCGCAAAATGCAAAATATTTACACCAACACTTAAATGATGAACAAAGTGGCCATCAAGAGCAACATCGACACCAACAGCAACCGGAAATTGTACATGAGTCAAGAAATCAAACGGCTACAACAACAATATGTGTTGTTAAAAAATCATTAGACCAACCCAATGGCAACAGACGCATCAATACAGTGACTATTGCGGAAGAGAGCAAGATTACGTTTAACAACAAAAACAGCAAAATTACCCCATCACATGAAAGATCGGCAACTGAGTTAGTAGCAAGGCAGCCCCTACCTCCACCACCACCTGTAAGCGACGACGATGACGAAATTCTATGTGAACATTTGGAGTGGTCAGCTGCTCAATCATTGGTTGAGATGAATGCCAAAGATAAACAACGTCGTCATAGCAATAATAATTGCCACAGCAACATGAGCATTTTCAGAAATAACAACGACAGCAACATTAACACCAAAAATCATATACAACATTTACCTACAGCAAAGACCAATATTTACGGTGCCTCTACCAATACAGAACCACAGAGTAAGTGTTAACGAATAATTTTTTTTCACACTGTCTAGTGATAACAGAGCGTACTACGGGAATTAATGTAAATTTTCTAACATATATATATATATATGTATATATATATTAGAAACACCTTAAAATATTCCTGTAGATATTGAAATAAACGAAAAGAGAGTTTGTTTGGTTTTTTTTTTTTTTTTGTTTTCTTAAATATGGTCTTAAAGTGAAGAATTAAGTTATCTTTGCTTGATTACATGCAGTGATCATGAAAACTAGTTACATAACGCATGTTGAATATGTGTGCCCGCTGAATTGTTTCTTGTAGAACGTACAGAATATTTAATAGGTGTTGTATTCTGCACAACATCAGCGAGACTATTATTTTCAGGTTCTCATAATTTACTAACCATTTTTTATAACAAAATTGATATTATTGTGATTACAACTGGTGTAGAATACCAAATGCAATATAGACATAAAAAGTGCGACAAGAAACGACAATCACAAGCTTTGGTGACTACGGCTCAATCACAATGCCAAAACAGAGCTGTTCATTTTAATTCTGATTGTGATAGATACATAGATAGATAAAGAGAGAGAGAGAGAGAGAGAGAGAGAGAGAGAGAGAGAGAGAGAGAGAGGGAGAGGGAACTTTCAGTTCGTAGGGGAGATAGCCGGGTAAGGGAAAGTGCATTTCCTTTACTCGTTTATGATTTTATGAAAGCTAGTTATCGAAATTTGCTTTCGAAGGAAACAACAACAACAACAACAACAACAATTCATGAATTCTTTAGAAATGTTTTTTAAGCAGATTTTTATTTGAGAATATACAGCAAATGCGTGGATGCTATTTAATTTTATAGAAGCGTAAAAATGATTTGAATCGATGAACGGTCGACAACAAGCAATAGGATGATAAAACGATAGCATTTAATAAGTTCACCAATTCGTTGCTTTTTTGTGTGACCCTTTAAAATGGTAAGACAAGGAAAGTGTTATTTCTCTATATATATATATATATATATATATATATATAGTTCTTTCACACTTTTATCTATTTGTCATCGACGGATGAGATCTACACACATTTTGCCAAAACGTTCGTAACGCCCAGAAAGGAACTTCTCTTAAGTCCCATAAACCATACAGACTCTTGATCAGCATCAAATTACGCACCGATTTCAGCATGCTCGACTGCCCCGCTGTCTAATGTCTGTTGCAATTTGATACGAACGCATATTCTATGGGCGATACTGTGGCACTTGTGCAAAAATGGACAAAGTTGATCGCGCCTACCAATGTGACATTTAAATAAAATAAATATTTATTTATTTGTCCGGTCAGTCCTTAAGTTAACACATTTCGAATACACTTTTTTAAATTTTATTTTTACTTGAAATTAAATAATTTTGATTTCTCTGCATCGAAATTTCGTTCAACTTTTTCTTTTCCATCCGTCCGTCAATCTTTTTCGTTTTTCGTTACCAAACCTTCTCTTATGCGATATAACCCATAATAACAGCAAAGAAACGCAATGAAAAATTCAAGTTCTGTATTTTTTTTTTTTTTTTTGTTGTTGCCGTTTTACACCAACTGAAAAGGTTTTTTTTTTCCTGCACACGTTTCTTTGGCTGAGGAGAATCCACCAAATAAATTGAAATATTTCCGTCGATAAATGAATATAAATTTGTACTCTCTGAAGTCTATATTTGACGTTCTTCTTCTAGAAATGCAATTAAGACGTTCCTTTTAAAAAGCTCTCGATACAGACCCTCTTTGAAGTAGTACAGCTAATATATATATATATATATATATATATATATATACTTTTGAAATTCCACAGACTATTGTAAATTCCGAGTCTACGTTCCTCGTTATTTGCATTGGTTTAAGCTTAGCTGTAGACTATTTCGTGTTTGGTTTTAACTGCTGGACAATGCTGCAGAGAATTTTCGCAGACAATTTCCTACGCACTTCGAATGCAACGCAACAATTGCTTCGCACAAGTGCTAGGAAAACATAAAACTGATTATCGCGTTTCCTCTATAAACAATAATAAATAACTTTGGTAACTACGATGTCATCGATATGAACGAGTAGACAAACGAATATCACTGAATGTCGCATACAAATACACATGTGTAGCAATGTATATACAATAATAGGACTTAATATATGACAATAAAAAATAAATAATAACATTATAGCCGGGCAAGGTCGGCGATTAAGTTCCTTACACCATATCCCCTAACTAGTAATAGAACGCGAATCTTTTCTTTACACTCTTGTGAAGAGGAGTTTATGAAAAGCATTTTGCTCAATTTTTCGGCCAAAAATTTCGCCAGAATTTCTACATTAATGCCACGAACTTTTTCCCCTACTGAATATTGTTCATTTACATTTTATTTTACGTAATCGTTGTCTGCACTCATAGACTTAACCAATAAACGTGGCTTTTAATGACCACCTCGTCTATTCCTGAGGTAAAGAGTATTTGAGAAGTACTTTCAAGATCTAAGTTACCAGGTTTTGACAAATAAAGTAATTTAAGTAATAAAACAAAAAAATGAAAAGCCATAAGGAGAAAAAGCAAGCATTCGTTTGAATATGTTCACCGAAAATGCTTATTGAATACAATCGCATTCTTTCGATTAACTTAAGATGTCCGCATTGTGAAAATTGCGATGAGAAAGATAAAAAATTACCCGGACTTATTTACTTGTTTGTATTTACTTGACGAAACAATTTTTTTGTTTCATTTAAACTTTTTCTTTCGGACAGGTATCATTTAAAAAAGGCTATTATCGCGCGTACATGTGTCAAAGTGGAGAGAAAATATTAACAAAATTTTCCAAAAACAAAAACTAAATAAATAAATCATTGAAATTTTAAAACAAACAGTTATCTCAGGCAGCAGCTCAGTCGTACGTCTCAAAACTTTCGCAGAAATGGTCGCGCACTCGCCAAGTTCGTATTGTGTGCCGTAACATGTGTCAACGTAAATCTATATAAGACAACATATTCGTTTATATATAACATTAACAATCAGTATATATGCGTGACATTGTTTTGTTGTTGCATTATTTAGAAATTTCCATCACGTATGCATTGTGCACATCCTGTTGCGTCCTCATATATCGATGCAAAACTGAGAATTGGATTAAAGGAAGAATTAAAAAAAAAAAAAAAGAAAAAAACTCGTGAAGCTGCTATTGTTACTAGATTTCATGAACAGAAACTAACATTAATGACTACACACTACACGTCCGCACAGCACAGAATATAGAATCGTTTATTCATTTAACGCTCGGCAATGTGATTTGCCGAAAAAAAAAAAAAACGCTCCGCCTACAAAAATAATCAAATATTTTAATTTAATGCGAATAACGTTGCGACCGGATGTTAACGTAAATCTTTATTCAATGAAAATTTGGTACATAGTTATATTGACACTAAGCATATACATGTAAATATATTCCTATATATGTATTCTATTTATGTATATTATGTATATGCATGTTCATATTTAACATATATGACCGTATAACATTTTATGAACAATATACAGACATATTTTCTGGGAACAAGTTTTTGGCTGACAGCTGATACTGTTTGTGGTTCGAGGAACATTATTTGTAGAAGTTTATATGTCGTGTTGACTTTGAACGGGGCAATGTCATTGGTATGTTTCACTCATTACCCATAAGTGCAAATTAATTTTCAAAATAAATGCTGCTTACATTTTTTATCTTAATAATGGAATTGGATTCAAAATAAATTTTAGTATCTAGAATAAATTTTGTTGAATAAGAAAATCAAAAAAAAAAAAAAAAAAAAAAAAAAAAAAAAAAAAAAAAAAAAAAAACCTCAAACAAAAATATTCATTTTTAGCTTACAGTTATATGTATATGTATAGTTATTGGAATTCGTATAACCGCAAGCCCACTTGTGGTAAAGTTTACATGAAGGTATGCAACACCCAGAAGTAAGTTTAGAAGATGGATCGGATGGATGGATCTTTTATTATATCAAAATATTCGGAAGCACTTTTTGAAACCAATTTAAGTTTGTCGATCCGTTCCTTAATTTTTTTTCTCGTATTTAACCTACAGATAACCGTTTTTAGGATATTGTGAAGAAATTTGGTACGCTGGTGATTTGGCTCAAGCACGAACGCTACCGAAGACGGTTCGGAGCGGACCAGTTCTTTGGCCCTTACCCATAAAAGACCTTATTTTGAAAAGGTATTATATGAATAAGTAGAAGATGGTATGGAATAACTCTTTATGACTAGAGTTTTTAAAGCTGCTAAACTAACCATCTGATCTACCTTAAGTAGAAAAAAAAAAAGATGAAGAAGAACAGGCAATAGTCTTAGTTGCTAGTAGTCATCCTACCGTTTAATAATAGTAATAGTACTAGAGTTGACATTATTTGCATGCTGTACACATTTTGAAAATTCATCAGTACTTCAATTGATCTGTTATGCATATATCTAATGCAAAATATACCAAATTTCAATCATTAGTGAAAATAATCAAAGTTTTCCTGACCATTGGTTGCGTACTATTGCTTATGACTTAGAGTACCTTAAGCATTAGCTTTCAGCAATTTACAGTGCAGACTTTTCTCAATGATTCCATCCTATGATGTCAAACAAGTCAAAAAAAAACCAACATATGTACACAAATGTCTTTGACAAAAGCAGCAAACGAAGCGCTTTCTACTAAAAACTTTTCGAGTAAAGAAAATGACGAACAATATTTGAATATAAAAGGGGCGTATTATATATTACTATAGACAAATATGATGAAAATAAAAACAAAAAATTTGCAGTGAAATAAAAAGGTGTGCCTATAGCATAATAGACGTCAAAACTTGAAATTCGTTTATTTGGGAATACAACTTTTGAAAATAGGACGCTACAATTTTCATTCATTTCACTCGAATTTCGCCTGGCATCTTTAAAGGAGAGTTCTCTAGAGAATGACGTCGTATGCTTTCGATCAAGTGAT